AGAGGAAGAGGAAGAGGAAGAGGAAGAGGAAGAGGAAGAGGAAGAGGAAGAAGAGGAAGAGGAGGAGGAGGAGGAGGAGGAGGAGGAAGAAGAAGAAGAGTAAAGGATATCCCATATTGAACTTATCTCTATTGAGGGGACTTTCCCATCCAGATCCCAGAGAGACACTTTTTAGAGAACCTGGAAGCCATATTTACATGCCACAGTTTGAAGAGCACATCGGCGGCCAATCAGTTGAGATTTGTTCCTTTTCTCCGAGGGCATTGTCGCTGCTCAGCCGTAACAGACAACATAATGACTCTGGGGGTGGGGCTGGGGGGCAGACTGGCTCTGTTATAGGAGAAACACACCGGATTGTGGATCTGGGGGGAGAGTGAGTAAGGCGGCGGCTGGAGGGCGAAGTGCGAATAATTGTACCCCTATGCCCACCGTAGAGTTGCCTTTCTTCGCAGCACAGTTTTGGAATGACTTAAAAATTTCCACATAGCACGACCTGTATGTAAAATGGCCACATAATATAACTCTGTGTTCACTTTAGTTTTATTCGTTATATTCTCCCCAATGCTCTTGACTGTCACACACATGCGTACAGATTTCAGCGTTTAGTTGCTGCGTTTTGAAGCTCCATGAAATGACAAGAAAAAAACAAGCTCTGCTCCCATAATGCCAAGTGGCGGCAGTCCTTCCCTGCTCTGTTCCTGCATGGTGTAGCTGTCGTTAGGCCTGTTCTGGAGCCGGGGTATGTGCATTAATGGTTTTGCCAGGAGGGGAGGTAAACCTGCTAATCAGTTGAACTTTGGTGATTTCACCAGCAAATCAATCAGACGAATATCCCCGAGAAGAGGTTAAAGTCACTTTGTTATTTTTGTGTGTGAATGTCACATTCTAGAATCTTCCCTGACATACTGACTTGTTATTGTTGCACGGAGCCCTGGGGTGGAGCCGAGCTCTTTCATCACCTCAGACTTCATGTCCAAAAACAGGCTTTGATGTCCCAGTCATGTTGTCATAGACAGGTGTCCGTGTCCAATGAGAGAGAGGAGCACTCCAGGAGATCACAGGGGCATACTTGAGGCTACGTAGGACACAGGGCACCCTGACTTCTCTGGGGTGCACTGGGGCACAGCATACTCTGGTGTGCACTGGGGTCATGGGGCATGCAGGGCTCACTGAAGTCAGTAGGTAACATAAGAGATGCTCAGGTCACATGGCACACTGAAGTCACAAGAAGACACAGGATGCTCTGGGATCACTGGTAACACAGGATGCTCTGGGGTCACTGGGTGACACATGATACTCTGGGGTCACTGGTAACACAGGCTGCTCTAGGGTCACTGGTAACACAGGCTGCTCTGGGGTCACTTTGTGACACAGGATGCTCTGGGGTCACTGGGTGACACATGATACTCTGGGGTCACTGGTAACACAGGCTGCTCTGGGGTCACTTTGTGACACAGGATACTCTGGGGTCACTGGGTAACACATGATGATCCGGGGTCACTGGTAACACAGGATACTCTGGGGTCACTGGTAACACAGGCTGCTCTAGGGTCACTGGTAACACAGGCTGCTCTAGGGTCACTGGGTGACACATGATACTCTGGGGTCACTTTGTGACACATGATACTCTGGGGTCACTGGTAACACAGGCTGCTCTGGGGTCACTTTGTGACACAGGATACTCTGGGGTCACTGGGTAACACATGATGATCCGGGGTCACTGGTAACACAGGCTGCTCTGATTGCTGCATGATACAGGATGCTCAAGGACACTTTGGGGTCACAGGTCGCACAGGGGTGCACTGGAGGCACAGATGCACAGAAGACCTGGGAACACCAGAGCCCACAAGGTGCTAGGTACTCATGGGCACTGACAGCAAGGTAAGCTCAGGGGACACAGATCACGGAGGGCAGACACGGAGCACACAGGTAAGATTGCAGCAGAAGGGGGCTCGAGCGTTGATCCGTGCGTCCTTCGCAATTTAAACCCATCCGCGGATCCGTCTCCTCCTTGGCCACAGTGCCAGCGCTCTATGTGAAACCTGGACGTGCCTAGGAGATGAGACCCCGTGCCGGATCAGGGTGGAAGGGAGAGTGACCCATGTGACAGGAAATAAATACAATGTATCCAGGTGGTTAGAGACGCCATTTCCTCTTTAGGAACTAAATCATACAACTATTTTCTGCATGCAGGAACGCAGGGCACCGCTCTTTGCCGAGGCGCAGTGCGTGCTGCCATGTGCATTGGCTGGCGGTTGGGGCCTATTTGCCGCAAACAAGAGCTCGGCCATTTTTAAAACCGCAAATGCGATCAGAATACGGCTCTGCATTCTCCGTGCTGCTCTTGTCTGCCAGCGTTTGGCGTCGGCTCGGAGTTTCCAGAAACCGCTTTGCCGCATTGTCTTCTCCAGCCGGCTGAGGATTCGGCTCTGCTCGGGCGGCCGTATGATTCTCACTCGCACTTCGCTTTCACCATTTCAGCACTTTGCTTACGTTCTGATATATCTCCGATGTTGGTGCTGGCTGACTGGCACACCGGAGGGGGGTCACCGTTTCCGCGTGTTTGCGTGTATATAACTACGTGTGCCGTTTGCTCCTTGTTAAAACCCAACAGAACTTTCAGTATAAATCAGCTGAATACATCCCAGGTCCATCTAAACTAAAGCTGAGCAAAGTCTTACGTTCTTTACAGAGCAGCCACAGCCTGAGTAGAGAAGCCCGTCCCCCGCCAGCATGTTGCAGAGAAGGACCCGTGCTCTCTGTGTGGAAGCAGTGGTCTCTCTGCAGAGGGACGATACACCTCATGCTGTGTCAGAGCTTGACCTCTCCAATCAGCGAAGATGGAGAGAGGGTTACGGGGTCCTTCAGGCTGCTTTTCCTTTGCTCAGCATTGGACAGTCTATGCATACAGACAGGGCCGGATTTACTCTCCCTGCTGCCCCAAGGCCAGGTTCCTCAATGCGCCCCCCCCTCCCCCCCCTATGGAGAATGGCAGACCTGCAGGTTGCATACAAGTGATATTGGCGACATCACCAAGGTCACTTGTACAAAACAAGCAGCAGCACCCCCGCTGTACATTTAGCTCTACTTGCCCAAAGCAGGACTAAATGTAGAAAACAACTACCCACCCGGCGCATGGAGCAGCAAGTCCACACCCCTGCCGCCCCTCTACTCCCTGATACCCCTCTACTCCCTGCCGCCCCTCTACTCCCTGCTGCCCCTCTACTCCCTGCTGCCCCTCTACTCCCTGCTGCTCCTCTACTCCCTGATGCCCCTCTACTCCCTGCTGCCCCGAGGCCGGGCCTTGGTTGGCCTTGTGAGAAATCCGGCCCTGGGTGGTTCCACAAGGTTCAGTGAATGCTCATGTGGCTGATACGGAGCTTCAGGAACAGTGGCGTCACAAGGGGGGTTGCGGGGGCTGCGGTCCGCACCCGGGTGACACCCTTGGAGGGGTGACACCAAAATGACTGACAGTCATTTTGGTGCCACCCCCCTCTGAAAAGTCGGGCGCTCGGTCACGGACCGAATGCCCGACAGTATCAGGAGAGGGGAGGGGACCCGGCGGCATACCTTATCCCGCCGGGTGGCTGTCCCCTCCTCTCTCTGACGGCGTCCATCACAAAGATGGCCGCCAGCAGGTATCAAGAAGATCGCCACGCATGCGCGATGACGCCTCGGCGGGGTGACACCGGGTAACCGCTCCGGGTGTCACCCAGCCTCGGGACGCCACTGCTCAGGAAGACTGCTTTTCACACCGGAATTCAGACATCCTCCCTTCCCCCTGCCAGCAGCAACGTTATTGTTCTTTACTGATTGGAGAGTTCTAGCTCTGACTCAGCAGGGGGGGCGTGTCAGACCACTGGAGAGAGGCCGCTGCTTCCACACAGACCACATGGGTCCTTTTTCTGTATCACGCTGGCAGGGGACAGGCCTCTCTTCTCAGGCTGCGGCTGATCTGACTTTGCACTGGTTCGGTTTGGATTCTCCTGGAACACATTCAGCTGATTTATTAGAGGGAGGGACTACAACTCCAATCGGTCATTAAAAGGGGGTTGTCACCTTCGTAGCTCCGAGCATTCTTTAGTTACTCAATCCATAAATATTCCGGACAATGTGACCTTTCTGTCCACTAGAGGCGAGGCTCCCCGTCACTAATTCCTCCTCACAATCAATGGGTTACAGAGGTGCCCATCCCCCACATTGGCCGCTTGCTGAGTGTGTGTGTGTGTGTGTGACAGGTACTCTTAACATGCAACAAGATTTGAATGTCATATTTCTGGTTACAAAAGTTGATGATGATCATTAAAGGGAACCTGTCATGAGACCCCAATTACTGCCGTCCTCCTAAGATTGCCGATCGCCTGCCTGTGTCTGACTTCACTGCTATTGGGGACACAGACCCAAAACTAGCGTGTGACCCCGTGACCTCAGAACACCCAATCTGCGTGCTGGGTCCAGGACAGTGTCAGAGCAACAAGGATTTTCTCTTGTAGACCCTCCACACTGCAGAGAGCCGACCGAACAAGAGACGACTTGAACATTACAGCTAATAAAGCGCCTAATGGGGAAACTTTCTCCTGATACCATAGAATGGACCTTCTCAGTCCTGGTCTGCACCTGCAGATGGCGGTATAGACATTGCAGACACTGCAGGTGCAGACCAGGACTGAGAAGGTTCATGTTGTCTCTTGTTCGGTCGGCTCTCTGCAGTGTGGAGGGTGTACTAGCCGATCGTTGCCAGTTTATATTGGGGAGCATGATGTGTAAAATCCAACTGGAGCTCAACATTCAGATGTCTCTCAGCATTTTAGGCAAATCATCAGAGAGATGTCTTCATTCTCCTCAGGGCTGGGCCAAGGGGTAGGCAGAAGAGGCGGCTGGCTTGTGCGTTTTAACACAGGGGGCTCAAAATGGGCCCAGAAACCATTGTGGCTAATAGTTCACAGCTCATGGTGGGATGGGGGTACACCGTGGCCCTGTCCCAGCAACCAATGACCCTGTGCAACCCAGCCGATGGTGTCCTAGTAACCAATGACACTGTGCAACCCAACTGACAGCTTCCTAGCAACCAATGGCACTGTGCAACTCAGCCAACAGTGTCCTAGCCACCAATGACACTGTGCAACTCAGCCTACAGTGTCCTAGCAACCAATGGCACTGCACAACCCAGCCGACAGTGTCCTAGCAACCAATGGCACTGTGCAACTCAGCCAACAGTGTCCTAGCAACCAATGGGACTGCGCCACTCAGCCAACAGTACCAGTTTATATTGGGGAGCATGATGTGTAAAATCCAACTGGAGCTCAACATTCAGATGTCTCTCAGCATTTTAGGCAAATCATCAGAGAGATGTCTTCATTCTCCTCAGGGCTGGGCCAAGGGGTAGGCAGAAGAGGCGGCTGGCTTGTGCGTTTTAACACAGGGGGCTCAAAATGGGCCCAGAAACCATTGTGGCTAATAGTTCACAGCTCATGGTGGGATGGGGGTACACCGTGGCCCTGTCCCAGCAACCAATGACCCTGTGCAACCCAGCCGATGGTGTCCTAGTAACCAATGACACTGTGCAACCCAACTGACAGCTTCCTAGCAACCAATGGCACTGTGCAACTCAGCCAACAGTGTCCTAGCAACCAATGGCACTGTGCAACTCAGCCAACAGTGTCCTAGCCACCAATGACACTGTGCAACTCAGCCTACAGTGTCCTAGCAACCAATGGCACTGCACAACCCAGCCGACAGTGTCCTAGCAACCAATGGCACTGTGCAACTCAGCCAACAGTGTCCTAGCAACCAATGGCACTGTGCAACTCAGCCAACAGTGTCCTAGCAACCAATGGCACTGCACAACCCAGCCGACAGTGTCCTAGCAACCAATGGCACTGTGCAACTCAGCCAACAGTGTTCTAGCAACCAATGGCACTGTGCAACTCAGCCAACAGTGTGCTAGCAACCAATGACACTGTGCAACCCAGCCAACAGTGTCCTAGCAACCAATGACACTGTGCAACCCAACTGACAGCTTCCTAGCAACCAATGACACTGTGCAACCCAGCTGACAGCTTCCTAGCAACCAATGACACTGCACAACCCAGCCGATGGTGTCCTAGCAACCAATGGCACTGTGCAACTCAGCCAACAGTGTCCTAGCAACCAATGACACTGCACAACTCAGCCAACAGTGTCCTAGCAATCTCCTTCCCGCACAGCATCGTTGGTTGCTTGGGCACAGGCGGCTCAGGGTTCAGTTCGCTTGGACGTTTGCCGAACCTGGATTTATGTCAGAGCGAACCGATCCCAGATACATTCAGCTCATCACTAATTGTGGAGTATTGAAGGTTCACAATGACTAAGGCCCCGCTATGGACTGAAACATGTCAGCGTTACTGCCGTGGTTTGGTACATTGTGAATACGCGTATGCTCAAAGACTGCGACCTGTGTGCTGGATCGCTTGAGTCTTCCCGAGCTCTGGTGAATCTTTGTGTCCGAGTGAATATCTTTCTCTGTACACAGCCAGGAACTGGACAGGCCAACAGACTTATTGATGGATTCTGCAGTTTGTTCCCCACAAAGGGCACAAAAAACATCCTTCTCATTTTTGGAACAAGAAAAAGGAGAAACAAATGAGCTTTAGAGGTTCATAAACTATCTACACACAACTGTTGTGGACATTTTGTAACAAATCATTGAAATCCATAGAAACATCTGATGATTATTAAGAGTTTCTATACATTCCAGCCCGTCATAGATCATCTCCTCACATGTAAATATTATTCATCCAATTCAATACAATGTATCCACTTCGCCTCAAAGAACAATATCCATGTATACAATGAGGGGGAGATGTTAAATTCATGAAGTAAGGATCCGCTTCCTCCGGAGGACGCAGGAGGTGAGTGTGGACATTGAATTATACCAAACAAAGCAATGCAATCTACACCGAGCGGCCAGATTATGATGACCCCCCCATCAGTACTTGGTTGGGCCGCCTGGTGACTCCACGAGATGGTGAAAGGTGATGCGAGGAATCTGACACGGCGCTGTTACCCTTCTGTTGTCTTGTACCAGTCTTGCCCCTCCCCCGTTCTGCCCTAACATTGACAAGTCGCTGACGGCCACAATTCGCACGCTCAGACCCAGATTTTCGGCTGACAGTCCGGTCTTTAAACACTTTAACAATGAGCCGCTCCTGAACATGTAACGAATTCTGCTGTTTTGCTGATACTCGCTCCATGGCTCCGAGCGCCAACAATCATCCCGCGTTCAAAGGCTGTTACATCGCGTTGTTTCCCCGAATCTTCCCAATCACTTCTACTGTCGTGGTAACCAACCCGCTTCCCTATTTATAATGGTCCGGCCCTCTAGCAACTTCAGCGCCAAATTATAGCTAATTTGCCTACAAACGTCAGGTGGTCATAATAATCCGGCCACTCAGTGTATATAATACTCCGGCCACTCGGTGTATATAATAATCCGGCCACTCGGTGTATATAATAATCCGGCCACTCGGTGTATATAATAATCCGGCCACTCGGTGTATATAATAATCCGGCCACTCGGTGTATATAATAATCCGGCCACTCGGTGTATATAATAATCCGGCCACTCAGTGTATATAATAATCCGGCCACTCGGTGTATATAATAATCCGGCCACTCAGTGTATATAATAATCTGGCCACTCGGTGTATATAATAATCCGGCCACTCGGTGTATATAATAATCCAGCCAATCAGTGTATATTGTTCTTTGGGATGAAGCGGACACATTGTATTGATCAGGATCAATATTATTTATATGTGAAGAGATGATCTGTGATTTTTATGGTTTAAAATGATTTGTTAGTAAAAGTTTGAAGAGCGACATTGTGTGTAGATACCGACCTGAGATGAGTGTCACTCACCGAGAACATTACCGTGGGGTGCGGGGAACGAATATCACATTCTAAAGTTTGATTTACCTAAAAACATACGGCGGAGAAGGAGGAAGAAATTTCCGTTACACAGACTGAGATCTCTGGAGGACCGGGAAGAAACATACACAGCGCACATCTCTTATTGTGGTACTTTTTATTATAAGAAAAATATTCATAAGAAAGAGATTAAAAAAAAGGTAAAAAGAGGGAGAACGGTACAAATAAAACCTAAAATGGTGATTTTTTTTTAAATCTCTGTGGATAGCCAAGGGGGAGCATACTGCCGTCCACCTACAACTGAAATGCCAGTAGTGGTGGAAGTGGGGGCGGAGACAAGACCAGTCACCCTGCACAAGGAGAGAGATCAGCAGTGGGCGGTCTTTATTACAGGAGGGGCGGAGACAAGACCAGTCACCCTGCACAAGGAGAGAGATCAGCAGTGGGCGGTCTTTATTACAGGAGGGGCGGAGACAAGACCAGTCACCCTGCATAAGGAGAGAGATCAGCAGTGGGCGGTCTTTATTACAGGAGGGGCGGAGACAAGACCAGTCGCCCTGCACAAGGAGAGAGAGCAGCAGTGAGCGGTCTTTATTACAGGAGGGGGCGGAGACAAGACCAGTCGCCCTGCACAAGGAGAGAGAGCAGCAGTGAGCGGTCTTTATTACAGGAGGGGGCGGAGACAAGACCAGTCGCCCTGCACAAGGAGAGAGAGCAGCAGTGAGCGGTCTTTATTACAGGAGGGGGCGGAGACAAGACCAGTCGCCCTGCACAAGGAGAGAGAGCAGCAGTGAGCGGTCTTTATTACAGGAGGGGGCGGAGACAAGACCAGTCGCCCTGCACAAGGAGAGAGAGCAGCAGTGAGCGGTCTTTATTACAGGAGGGGGCGGAGACAAGACCAGTCGCCCTGCACAAGGAGAGAGAGCAGCAGTGACCGGTCTTTATTACAGGAAGCTCCGAGTCTCACACTGGATTACAGATCTGGAAGAAATACACAGGACTCTGGTATGAGGACAATATTTAATAAAACAATAGTTTAAATGACACGATTGGTGACGCCCTAAATCTTGTACACGGTGTTACAGAACAATACAATTTTCACAGACAGTCTCAGCAACAGCGTACACTGGCAGCGCATATTTGGCTGTGGAATCTTCTCGGCTTACATTCACCGGCAGCTCCCCAACTTGTTTCATACTAAGCATGTAGCCAGTGAAGTCAGAGCTTCTCATCTTTATTCTTGTTGACTTTGGCTCGGTAGGGTGGCTCATTATTATTGTTGTAGGAAAGGGTTAAAACTAGGGCTGCACAGATACTTTTCGAGTACCAGCGCCGATACTTGGCATGTTCAGGAGAACTCCCAGGGTTGCAGCTGGGACCGGGCTCTGGCCCTCCACCGCTGTCCTGATATCATTGGTCTGTATTGTTTTACAAAAACAGTCACATGACAATAAACACAAATATGTCAGTACTCGTACTCGCAAAACTGGTATCTGTGCATCCCGAATATATGTTTATAACAACAAAATGATACATTATAACAAAGATGTACAAATCCCGGGAGCTCCGTGTGCTCCTCACACATGACAGCGGCCTCCTAACCTTTGAATGTTTCTCTAGTCCAGTCTTGGAGCTCAAAAGTATCGGTACTTGTGCCGAGTCCGGTACTTGGTATCTGTGCAACCCAAGATAAAACTGTTCTCAGATATCTGCTGCTATCCAGGGCTCCATTAGAGACTTCCCTTTACTATGGAGAGATTTCCTCATTTCCTGTTGTTTCTCCCAGGACAGGAAGTGACAGGAAAATCTTCCCAATGGGACACACACCAAAAAGTAAAAGCTGAAGGGGGGTGTTAACCCTTCACTCTTCCAAAACCTCAACAAGAGGGTCCCCCTACGCTACTTACACTCTACTGCAATTCCGCCGTGGTCTGGTCCATGACCCAGGTGATCCAGGCGGGTGACCAGCCCCTTCCAAGTGTTGACCAGCTGTGTCCTCTCCCTGATGGCTCTCAGATCGGCCCCCGCTCTTTCAGGGCCCCCTTTCAGCAGCACATACAGTCCATTCTGATCTCACAGAGGGACTGGCCAAGCCCCAGCGTGGTGCCGGCGGTCTGGAGCAGATGTGGAAGTATCCTTATATCTTTTGTATCAATCTGAGAGCCAGAAGTCGGGGGAACATTCCGGCATCATGTGGTTCGTATCAGAGCCGAATTCCGCCTCCACCCCTATTATGCGCTGCAGATCACCCGATAGCTCATACGGAGGGGAAGGAAAATCATAACAAGCTGTCCGGACAGAATCAGAAGGGGATTTATGGCTAAAAATACAGAAATGTTTCAGCGTGAAATTCTGCGGCTACAAAAATAACTCAAACGAAATCTCTGTATAAAAAATGCAGAGATGTGCGGAGGAGCCGCAACGCCGGCCGAACTGCTAAGTATACAGTGCAATCAGGGCCGTAACTAGAAATCACAGGGCCCCGTAGCAACATTTTGTATGGGGGCCCTGTGATTTCTAGTTAAGGGGTGACCCTGCAGAGCCCACCATAGATTCTCTAGGGTCTCAGGTGGGCTGGTCACACCCCTGCACACCTCTTACCTGTCAGCCCCGATCCGCTGTCAGCCTTCTCCACTGCCGTGCATGCCTCCTCCTCCTCCAGGTCACAGATGGGCACCGCCTACTCCAGGCCCCTTCTCCTCCTCCGCTGCCGAGCCCCCCCCTCCTCCTCCACTGGCTCCCGGCCCCCTCTACTGCTGCTGCTGGCTGTCACTGACAAGTTGCTCCTCATAGCTGCCATGGTCAGCCAGCAGCCTGCAATGCCATAGCGACCCAGGCGGCCAGCACGGCATCATGAGCAGTGACGTTCGGTACAGTTGTTTCCTGTTGAGGCATTCCCCAGCCTCGCTCCCAGCACGTCCCGCCCCCGCTGGCCGAAGCCCCGCCCCCCACCCGTTCCCCAAGATAGTGTGAAGGAGGAAGGGAGGAGCCTCCCTGTCTCTCACTTTTTCGTCACTGCTGAGGCATCGAGATCGATGGCCCCAGTGTTTTTTTTTCTTTTTTTGATTGGATAGCTTGGACCAATGGCGCTGAACAGAGCTCACATCTCTCACAAAGAGTAGAGGCTGTGACAGCTCTTGCCTCAATAGTTAGGTTACACAAGTAGTGGGGAAGCCCGCTACTGTGTAACCAAACTACCTGTCAAAAGCCGGATGCAACTTGCCCGTCAATGCTGAGGCATCGAGATTGATGGCCTCAGTGGTTTTTTTCTTTCTTTTTTTTTTTATTGGACAGCTCGGACCAATGGCGCTTTGTCATTGGTCCAAGCCATCCACAGAGCTCACGCCACAAAGGCTGCGTTCCCACCTGACCGTTTTGTAGGGCGTTCTACGCTCTACAAAACGCTCAAAAATATAAATTGCATTGTAGTCAATGCCCTCGTTCCCACCTCGCCGTATTTCGGCCCGTCCCTAACGCCCTACAAAACGGCCCACGCCTGAAAAGGTCCCGGGACTACTTTGGGCCGTTTTGTAGGGCGTTTTCCATTGGGATACAGCCAAGTAGCCTT